ATAATAGTCTTTTCTGATCCCAAGAAAGCATGAAAGATTGTTTCTGCTAAAACAGGTAATGAAAAATGTTTTTGCATTATTATGCCTTGCTGACTGAGTGCATTTGTATACATAAATGCAGGGTGTGAGTTCAGCTTTGGGAGATCACTACTGAAGACAGTTAGTTCAGAAGCCCATCATGTTCTTGAGAAAGTGCTGCCCCTGCCCAACCCCAGGAAAGGTCAACCACCAGGACAACCACTGTTTTAAATAACCACTTTGAATAGTACACGCGCGCGCGCACACCCCTACCTTGCTTCATTTTCCTGTTCTTAGCTTTCAGTGTTAGTTTTACAAATTGATCATCAGAGCATCAGTTTATTAGTTGTATATTGCTTTGAATATATGTATAGAACCACAGTCTATAAAGACAAGAGAGCAACATAAATGAGCATTCAAGTTGCTACTTGCACCATGATGTGTTCAGTAGTGACATAAAGAATGAATACATGTGTTAATTTAAAAGGTGTTCCACAGGTCTGAGTTGACAAATTATATCAAAGACAAAAAAGAACATTCCTCAGGTATCTGAAGGAATTCAGACATTGATAAAGAACTGAATACCATCCGAATTCCAGGGAAATTTAATACTATCAGAACTGGAGGTCAAAATAGTTAATAAGCTATAGTATTTGAACTGTGGTTACAACAGCCATTTCATTACTCAAACCTGTGGATATGTAAACATTAAGCCTAAACACAGTTGAATAAATAACAAATTACCAAGTACCAACAAATTACCTCTGAGAACTGCGAAAAAACATGAAAGAAACACTTTCCTTTTAAAACAAAAACTTTGTGCATTGCTTCTTAATGTACCTTGCCTTCTGATTTACATTTTATTTCTTGGCCATTAAGATTCTTAGCATGCAGATATGGACTTCACAGAATATGATCTGGGACAGTTCTTTAGGGCATAATTATAATAGTTACCCTTCAAGGAAAAATTAAGAGAAATAAACACTTATTTAGCTAATAGGCTAAGTGATGATCATTTTGTTTGTTACATGGCATCATTTGTGATGCTCCTGTTTAATTTCCACTTACTAATTGGGATATGATAGGGATGTAATTCAGTATAATAGGAAAATTAAAATGTCAGAGATTGCTTGCTGCTCCAAGGAAAGAATGAAGCAGATTCCTGTTGAGTCACTTTAATTTTAAACAAGTGATCAAATAATGATTGTGCAGTATAACACAGGGGGAAAAAATCTACATGTTCTCTCTGTGTTAGGCAGTAACCTACTTCCCAAACAAAATATGTTCGAAAATTATTTTATGTATTGGAACATCATGGCCATGCTGAAGCTGCTTAATTAATCCTGGTAGGTCTGTGAAACTGGACAAAATTAAAATAAGCAATACACTGGCAGAAATTAAGACCAAGAACTACTCACAATCTACATTCAGACATCTCAAATACATGCTATTAAAATCAAAGGGACCCTCCAAAAATAAATCTGTAATATTTTTACCCTAACAACCAGTACATAAGATCATGTATTGTGAAATAGTTCCTATGACTTCTTACTATTAAAAACTAAAACTGGACATTTTGGCAAAGTATAGCCTTCGTAAAAGTTAAATAGATGAAATAGTATTTATCAATGGTTTGCAAAGATAGATTTCCTTTAGCTAAATAATTCATTGTATTTCTCCAACAGTGGTTCTGGGAATTTCACTTTACTCAAGAAAAGTAGTTATTGTCAAAAAAGACAAAGAAGATAAAAAGATAACCCAAAGCTGAGAACTTGAGGGCACAGAAAGCAAAATAAGTAATTTGGATGCATTACATGTTTCAAAAGATGTCTGCATAGGGTGCTGGTGAAACAAAATAACAGCCAGTGAAATGATGATTGAAGTCAATCCCTAAATCCTATTAAAAATACTGAAAAGAAGAACAAGGAAAAACTTTTAAAAATGAACAGACAGAAGGAAAATATACTTTTCAACAAGAAGGGTGAGAAGGTAAATGTTCAACTGGGGGGCTAAGTTTGAAAATATTTGTGCAAAATGTAGGCACAAATTTTCTTTTATGACCATAGCTGGCCAGCCACCAACAGCCCCTCTGATTATCTGCTTGGGTACTCTGAAGGAGCAGCTAAAATTATGAAGCTGTCTATCAAACCAGAGATCACAATTTCAGGGTAAGAAAAGGAGGAAAGAAGCCATGCTAAGTGAAAAAGCTCATAATCACAGTACAGGGAAGCAGATAAGTCAGTCCTTCCACACAGTCCCCTGGGATACCTGTGGGAAAACTTAGGTGAAGGAGTGGAACCAAGACAAGACATGGGTTGTCTAACCCTCAAACAACGCTTGCTTCCTGGATGCACAGGACTAAGCAACCCATGACAAACCAGGTATTCACAGGTAGCATACAAAAATGGCACCCAGCATAATACAACAGCCCCCATGGGTAAATTAGCCCATAGTGATATCTTGGTTCAGAGTGTAATCATGAAGAGCAATAGTTAAACAGTTTGAGGTCAAGTTACCAGGGGATCATAAATCACAAGCCAAGATAAGTGAAGAAGAGTTTACTGTGAGAGTGCCAAAGCCAGTACCATGAATCAGTCATCAAAGGTAATAAGCAAAAGAGCAGTAAGTAGGAGTCCAAAGTTTCAGAATGCCAAACAAGCTTGTTCTGATCAGAGGTTCTGATACATTTCCTGACAGTATCAGTTCTGCAAAGCCAGACTGTCACCATATGCTTACAATTCTCTGCTCCTGAATAGAGTTTTTTTTAATTTAGAGGGGCCTTGGCTTACATTCAAGCTCTCTACCTTCTAGGGAGTGTCTGGATCTTGCTCTTGAGCCATCCTCTCTCTTGAAGGAACAAAGTGGATTCCTCCTGCTGCTCCAATTGCAAGTTCTTCTACTGGAAAGGGAGAATACTGAGAATCTGTTGGGAAGGCCCTGGCTGTCTAGGCAGCTATGTCCTGAACTTCCCCAGGGGAGGAAGTTTCCTGAGCCAAAGGCCTTTTCTGACTGCTGATCCAAAGACTTGGCCCAAAGGAAAGGCCTCCTCTTCTTCAGAAGAAGACACTTCCATGGGAGGTAGGGCAAATGAGCTATCATTTCTTGCAAACCAGTGCACTGTTACCAGATTTTCCAACTTGGCTCTTCGATGGATCACCCCCATCCCATCCCACTTCCAGATGGCTTCTGGCACCTACTTGAAGCCAACCCCTCCTTCATTCAGGGCAGCTTCTCACTGCTGCAATTTGGATTCTTGTCAACAAGATGCATGCATTCAACCTGGTTAAAAGAACGTACATATAAATCATTGCTATTTATAAGTCAATAATCAAGCCCTTCACATGTGAGGAAGTAGGTGTATTTTACATAACTTGGGTATCTCTACCATAGATAGGATATGACACTGATATAGCAAAATGTATTTTTTGTCATTTGTTAATTAAATTTATATCCCACCTTCCCATCGACTGGTGCACAAAGTGGCCAGCAGCAGCACAATATAAAAGAACTCATAAATAAAATGAATCATTCCTAAAACTAAATGAATATTTAAGAAATTATGGCATCTTTATAACCCAGAACATGTCAGTTTATGAGACTAAAATGTCTCTGAACAAAAATGTCTTCATTTTTAGAAATGGATTAAATGGACCTTTGCTGGAAAAGGCATGTTAGATCCTGGAAGAAGTGCCTCTCTTGGGTTCTCAATGATAGACTAGCAATGGGTACCAGACCTGATGGTTATAGGCCACTTCCTGTATTAGAGGCAGTATGACTATCAATACCAGTTCCTGGGGAACATGTGTAGAAGGGTGCTGTTGCACTCCTAAGTTGTCCTACTTGTGAGTTTTCTGTAGGCAACTGATTGTTGTCTATGAGAACAGAATGCTGGACTAGATGGACCTTAGTCTGACTCAGCCTGGCTCTTACGTTCTGGTTCTTATATTCCTGCCAAACATGCTAAAGATGTTTGCAGGAGAAAAAGGCCTCTCCCAGATATGTTTTAAAAATAGTATTCAACAACTTGAATCCACTAAAATTAAAAAAGCAACTCTACATAAAGTGTATTACACTGTAGTCCTAATGAGACTACAATAAAGTAACAAGTCACAGCAATAAAATCTGATGTCTCCAGGAAAGGCACTCTAGCCTTAGTTGGCTTACTAATCTTAGCTGTGCAACTTCATTTCAGACCACCACCAAAAACTAAACATGCAGTTACATGGATGAATCCAGGAGAACACACACAATGAAAATCTAAATCTTCCAAGAGAGTTCATTACCCAGGAAAGCTTGAAGCCTTTTCCTCCATCTATCTCTCAACTGACTCTACACTGTATGGACTAAGCCAAAGAGCTCCTAGCACGGGTGCACAGTGAAAAGAGCCTAAGGTAAATTACTTTGTGTTGCTCTTCCATAGCATCACATACCCTTCTATTTCTTTTTTCAATAGCTGTCAGAAGAACATTTGAGAATGCAATCTTCCATTTTTAGGAGAGAGCATAAAATGCACCTCCATTCAGGTGATATTGTGGGAATTGTTTTACAAAGTGGTATAGAAGGGAACAACTGGAATTTGATATACTGAAAAAATGAGTGAATGATGGAACCAGGAATTATGTACACATACAAAGGTATGACCTTAAAGAAGAAGACAACCAGGATAGCTCTGATGGATCAAACCAAAGGTCAGTTTTGTCCACCATTCCTTTTCCACTGCAGCTAAATGAGATTGAATAGCATGTTGTGGTAGAAAAACTGAAATTATAATAAGTTCATCCAAACACACACACAAAAAATAAAAATAAAATGTTGCCCTGTTACAGAAACAAATATAAAGTGTTCTGTCAAGCCAATCAGAGTCGGACTTCACCTTCCACAATCACTGAAACTCTCTACTGAGAATGGAAGAACTCTGATAAATGAATGTAAACAAATCCATAAATAATTCATCCTCCTATTAGGGCATATAATACACATACCTTAACAACAGGATTCAGGAGAACAACACCTGATTTCTTCGTAATCACATGTTTTGTAGTATAATGATGTTCTATGAGCTGAGGAATAGTTGAAAACCCAGTTCCTTCAAATCGATATTGATTCTATAAAAGGAAAAAAAAGAGGAAACACAAAAAAATTAAACAAAAAATAACCTGCTACCCCAGATAAGGAAATGTCTAATTTTCATTGCTTTCTATAAGAGTGAGCAGGGTCACCTACATGAATTTATATATGTTTGAACTGTGAAGCACCTAAGAAAAATGTAGTTTGAGTATGAAAACAAGTGACACATCATGTGAAATCTTTCTTACTGAATTAACATTTATATATATGCAAGTCTGTTCTGTTTTAAGCCAAACTGCTACAGAAAAAAAAGTGTTAATGTAAACCCTTTTTTTCTGGAGCATGTAACTACAAGTAAGTCTTGGTAAGATTACAAGTAAATCAACAAAAGCTTTAAAACACAAGCTGCTGTTTACATGGGTCTGGTTTGAATAAACATGCCCTAACCTGCTAAACTAGGGATGTACAGACTTTGTCAAAACCATTCTGTCTGCATTTCATAGATCGTCAAACAACCATCTTTTGTTCACTGCTCAAACAGGATTTTGCACAAAATGCACAAATCACCAAAATGCACAATTACATGCATTCTACAGGAGACATATGTACTACAGTCAGCGTTGTATTACTTTTCATATTTTTCAACTATACTTATAGAGTTTTAAAAAATGGTCCACAAGTCCATGGCTCTGCTGCATAGTCCATTGATCAGATTCTCAGAAAATCAAACACATTTGAATTTCTTGTGGACTTCTCCATCATTGTTATGTTGAACCAAAGCATAACAGCCCAGAATGAGCTTCAGGGCCACGAGCTCCCTTTTCCTCCTCCCTCCATCAGTACACAGATCCTAGTTAGCTTCATAATCCTACATATAATACTTTTAAGGGGGGGTTCTGTTCCTGCTGTCGAAGAATGCTGTGCTACCCTGTGTCATTGGTATCTGCAACTGGTATAATATTTGTGTATATAGCTAGGCTAGACTGAGCTTAATCTGTGTCCAAGGTGGCCAATAAGACCTGGGATCTTGGGATGGGGGGCACTTTGACTGTCTGTAAAGTATATTGGTAAAAAAGGTAAAGGTTTCCCCTTAAGTCCAGTCATGCCTGACTCTAGGGGGCAGTACTCATCTCCGTTTCCTAGCTGAGGGAGCCAGCGTTTGTCCGCAGACAGTCTCCGTGGTCATGCGGCCGGCATGACTAAACACCGAGTGCACCAAATGATGTTACCTGCCCACCGAAGTGGTACCTTTTTATCTACTTGCATCTGCATGCTTTCGAACTGCAAGGTTGGCAGGAGCTGGGATGGAGCAACGGGAACTCACCCCATTGTGCAGATTCGAACCAGCGACCTTTCGATCAACCAGCCCAGCAGCACAGCAGTTTAAACCACTGCGCCACCTGCTCTTCAAATCCCCCTTTCCCCACCACCACCTTGCGTATTCTTTGCCTTAGTATTTTAACTGTTTTAGTAACCCCATCCCTATCTTTTAACCTTTTAATAAATCCTTTCCCCCCCAACACTTGGGTCGTCATGTGCTGAATCCAATGTCTGGTTCACAGTTTAGTGACCAGAGAGGTTGTGAGCAGAAATTCAAGCCCAGTTGGCTGCAGGAGTGGGGAATCCTGGGTGTCTGTCTGCTACACTGTGGTCTAATGTCTATTTCCTGGTCATGATTTGAACCCACATTTGTAACAGAAAGCGTGTTCCTGTTTGGAAGTATAATTTAGCAGGCCAGGAAATATATGTCTGAAATGGAAAACAAAAAAAAAAAAAAAAAACCACCCAGGAAAAATAGTTTAACAGAAGCATTGTCATGCCAAAATTTAAGTATTTAACTTCTCTGGATACTTAACTTCTGAGTAAATTCAGGTACAGCAATATATGGAGGGCAAGGCCATTGTTTACACGTATTCAGAGATCATAAGAAGCTACATTTCGGGGCATTTAGATATACCCCAAACACTTCCAAATGTAACAAGCAATAAAGTTCCCCTTGAGAGTGATTCTGTGTTCCAAGCCTTGAAATGGAGGTGGTGGGGGGGGGACTATGGCTCCCCCCATCCCCTGCCTACCAAGGCATGTTTTCCCATTATTTGCTCATTTTAACCCAATTTCTATTTGCAAAAATTTCTGGAATATGCATCTTCTACTATTGTGCTACACCAACAGGATATCAATGGATAATAGCCATAATAGGAAACAACTTATAATCCAAGAGGGCAGTTTTCCCTTTAATCTTTTCATCAACTGGAGCTGGGTAAGAAGGACTAGTGAGATGTTTAGCCATCCTTGGAAACACACAATGGTGAGTCACTGGAAACTGGGAGATCAAAGAAAATGTAAAGGCTTCTCTTGCCACCAGATTCTGAATCAAACTTAGGAGGATGTATCTCCTGTTTGATTCTGTATGAAATATGAATTATGAATGAAAAATGTAGAGAAGCCCTCAAACAGGCAGGTGTTATGTTTGTAACAGTGGTCTCCACCAAGCAGTATTACCTTTGACTGTTGAAATGGTATCTAATACTAATGTTTTCAAAATGTGCTCAGTCAATTTTTTTGGCTGAAAAAAGTCTTTCAAAATATTGTTGAGCATGAAAGAAAAGAAAAGGAAGAGAAAGTCTTCATTCCTTCCCTCTGTTGCACATAGACATTCCCAGGTAATCCAATTGTAGAAAAACAATTACATTGTAGAATGCCAGTCAGTGATATCTAGTGGTGCAGTGCTTTCCAAAAGTAATCTCAAGCCATGGGGTCACAGGATGAAAATTAGTAATCTTTTGTTGATGATATATTGCCATGTTTTTAGTGATACATCATCAAAACCTTCCAGTGGGAAGGAACTGAAGGTGAAGGACTAATTCAACCAATCTTCAGCTTAAGAATCTTACAAGAAACCTCATTTGGTATTAGAACAAAACAAAACTCTAGTAACTTCCTGCTTGGATTACTGCAACGCGCTCTATGTAGGGCTGCCCTTGAAAATGGTCCGGATACTGCAACTGGTACAGAATAGAGCTGCCAGGCTGCTGGCAGGGACCAGCCATTACTCTCACATAACACCAGTCCTCTTCCAGCTCCACTGGCTTCCAGCTGAAGTCCGGGCCCAATTCAAGGTGCTGGTTTTGACCTGTAAAGCCCTAAACAGCTTGGGACCAGGACACCTGAAGGAACATCTCCTTCCTTATATGCCCTCACACCCCTTAAGATCTATGGGAGAAGCCCTACTCTGGGAACTCTCTCTAAGGGAGGTAAAAAGGTCATCAACTCGGAGTAGGGCCTGTGGTGCCCAGACTCTGGAATGTACTCCCCAGAGATGGCACCAAGTTTATACTCTTTTGGGCAGCAGGCCAAAACCTTTTTATTTAAACAGTATTTTCAACTTTAATATTTTTTAAATTTAGTCACTCTGTTTTGCGATTTATTGTTTTGTTCTGTTTTATTTATTGCAATTGTTGTTTTAATTGTCTTTTTAAATATTGTAAGCCGTTCTAAGATCTTGTATAACAGGATGGCATACAAAAGCTTTTAATTAATAAATTAATAAATAAATAAAACAAAAAAAATCCTTTGCTTAGTGTAAATACTGTGCCTTGGTTCCATGTTCACAATCAGTAACACAGATTAGAATCACTGTTTTGCCCACAGTCAAGCACAGAAAGAGTAAAAATGCTGTTCTTTTAACACTCAGATTTTGAGTAAGACATGATACTATTCTGCATGTATGTTTGTAGATTCATCAGAACTATTGCTATATCCCACATAAATATTTTGAAATACAAACAAACTCATTGTTTAAGGCTTTTTAAAAATAGGCTATAGATTTTTAGCCTTTACCAGCCCTCCCATCATCCTCCAGTTTGATTTTATCAATTTTTAAGAGGGTGTCAGATAATGAATATAGTACATCTGAAGCTTATCTGAGAATCCTTACAGTCAGGCTGTTAATTCCCACACCTTGTACACTTTAAGATACAATCCAATTTGCAATTCTCTCTCCAATACTAACACACCTGTTTACAATTACAGCCCACCTTATCACTAAAAATAATTCCTGCAATCAGCAATGCAGCATACAGCAATGTGCTCTAATGACGGAACACACTTCCTCTTGGCTCATAAAGGGTCTTGAGGGTTGATTCTTATGATTACTTTATGTTTCAATAATATCTTGAAGTAGTGTGGTGAACTGAAAGCCCTGAAGGATGGACCAAAGCAGAGAAAACTCTGATATTTACCTGAAGTTGAATGAGTATCCATTTAAAAATACAAGGGACAAGTAAAAGGATAAAAGCATCACCAGAGTACTTCTATCCTTCAGGTAGCCTACTTTAAAATCCTTGATGCAGCTATTTGATTATGTGGCATGTTCACCAAACAAAAGAATACTACATTGGGTATTCAGTGGCTCAAACAATTAGAGAGAAAGTGCAAATGTATTAGCTGTTTATCCCCCTTGGTTTCATTGCATTCCTCCATGATTTGGAGGAGAAGCTGAGAAGCCGGAAGGTTGTTCCACATGTTCAGATTTCCCAAATCATTTAGAATCCTGTGTGATTGGGCTTCTAAAGTACATAGGGAGCCTACATATGTAGAGCCTGATGTCCACCTAACAATTTCACTTCCAAGCATGTAAAATGGCAGGCCAAGTGACAGCATAAAGGAACAAGGGAAGAATACCTAAGGCAGGGTCAGCAAGCACAGGCTGACTTTCCCCTTCACACGATTCTAAGTACATGGATCACTGAGCTCCCCAGTAAGGCTGGCTCTAATCTGTTTTCTCACCATGCCCCAGATAAGAGAACTGCCTTAAGAAAGCTATTTGTCCATCCTAACAAAACAGGGTGTGGGAATGAAAGAGGACAAAAAAATGATTTCATTAGAACACATCTTGAGGCTGACAATAGCAGTGAAGGGCAAAACAGAACAAAGCTTGTCCCTGTCCACTGTCTCAAATTGTCCCTTAAAAGAAAGAGGAACATATGTTTTAACAGAAAGACCTCACTTTATTTAGAGGCAGTATACCTCTGAATGTCAAATACTGGGAACAAAGAAAAGGCAAAGGATTCAGCTGCTTGAGAAGCTTTCCCCAAACCTCATCACTGTTGAAACTAAATGATGGACAAGAAGGGTCTTTCATGAATCCAGCAGGACATTTTGTGTATTCATGCACAGATGCATGTAGGTGTTTTACGAACAATAGGTTTCAGTTGATAATGCATTCTCAACCACTGGTACTTCCAGAAGAGGCATTAATTGTGCAACTTTACTCTTCATTCACAGAATGTTATAAGGTGGTAGACAGATAATGATGTTTTCATCCCTACTACCACCCCATCAATCTTTCTCATCATTTCTTCCATCTTTTTACTCTTCAAAAAAAATCAATTCAGGAAGAAAAGATGGACAAATTGCACAGTGCCTTTTGAAAGTAACTACTAGAGCCCTTTGTCTGACAGTGTCCCTTAAGATGTTAGGGAAGTAACATTACTCCATAAATCTTGGTAATAATTAAGCTATACACAAAGCTTCTGTCTAAAACAAATATGCAAAGGCCAAATTCAGCACAATAGCAAACATACATCAGCATACTGTATGATGAAGTGTCGCCGCTGTCCATCTGAAAATACAGAAAGGACATATTCACCAGGCTTCCCATGACTCTCTCGCACCAAAAAGTCTCCTTGCTGTTTTAATAGCTCTTGAGCTTCTATTCGTGGAATTGCGCCATGATACCAATCTTGCTCTGCCAGGGGCTTTTCACTGGTTGATATTACATCAAAAAACTTCAGAAAAATATGAAGAAAAGATGAGTGAATATAGGATATTTTACATTACATTTTCAATCACAATCCAAAATATTTTTGAACCCCCTCTCAAAACTGTTTCATTAATTAGTGATCAACAGGAAACATGTTTAATAATATAAAACTAAGCAGGTTTCTTTTTCTTCATTATCAAAGCTATAAAAGTAGAGTTATACTTTAGAGAAAACATTACAAGAAAAATGAATAGAACAAAAACTACTGTAAATCATATAAATAGCATTTTTTCAGAACAACATAAGGCTTTACTAAGGCTGTTTAGGTATTCTTTAAAATAAAGAATTTCTTCCTTCTCTCATTTCACTTTTTGTTTTTGTTTTAGACAGCCATTTGTCTACTGGTGCTTGGATCAAAGTTCAGTAGATAATTCTCTCAGCAGTTAGGTCATACCATCAAAATCTTAGAAAAGTCTAAAACAAGGAACTCGAGAATGTGCAAAATGGCTCATATTCTCCTGATGCCTTAAATTATCTGGGAATAGTGTGTCTTAAGGATCACCTGTCCTATACTGACTTGTCCAGTTACTTATCCTATGGTAAACAGACTTACACTGAATGTATACCCCACATTGTTTATGTTTGATATGGTATTCTTTTATTACTACACGGCAAGTATTTCCAAAAACTTAATGCTTTATTTTATAAATTCCTATGGGGTTCATTCCACCATGAATAAACCCTGGAAATGACCCAGCTCTCAATTAAAGAGGTTGGATGTGGTTTTCTATATATCTTTTAAGAAATATTAGTTTCACAGTATAAAATACATCTAAGAAAAAACTTAGAAGTAAACTTAAAACATATAACATTAAACATACAATTAAAAATCAATCTTAAAAAAATGTGTACCCCATCACCGGAACCATAGGATACATGTTAAAGGGGGAAAAAAATAAAAAATTTCAAGATATTTCCCCATTCCAAAATTGCAATGATTCTCGCAATGGTTCAAATTCTTTCCCTTTTTTAAAGAACATATTCAATAACAGCACACCAAATCCTATTAAACTGTATATGCCCTTTTCTCATTTTCATATCAAAAGTTAATTTATCATTAATAGCAATATCATTAATACCAAAATTCTCTGTACCAATCACACAATTGATAATCATTTCACCTTCCAATTCTCAGCTATGATTAATCTTGAAGTAATTATTAAATTTGTTATTAATTCTTCATTATTACAACCCATTGTTTCTGATCAAATATTGAAAGTAATGTGATCTCAGAACATATTTCAATATTTAAACTTAATATTTTACTACTCCCTTTAAAAACCTCTTTTCAAAACTTCCTACCACATTCCTACCACATATGAAAATATATACCTACATCTGCAACATATTTAGAATATTTACTCTCCATACAATTCAACTTCACTGGGGTAAGGTACCACTTCCACATAATTTTATAGAAGTTTCCCTTTATTCTTACTGACATACATTTTAATAACCTCTTCATCCAAATATTTTCCCAATCTTCATTACTAATATTCTTCCTCAGATCTGTTTCCCACATTGTTTTAAGGCATTCAGTATATCATTGGGTTTGTTAGCTTTTACTACATTTTGGTCTTTTCCGTTCAGATTAGACTTTTCCCACTGGTCAGTTTTGGAACCTTCATCTTTGGATCTTCTCCCCAAATGGATTGGCTTGAGTTCTCAATATATTAAAACTGGAGAATTCCTCCTAGACTTTAAACTTTAGGAAAATGCTTCCTAATGTTATAGTAGTAAGGAAAGTAAGGCACATAGTTTCATCTAAAATAGTTATTTTCCCACATAAAATTAACTTTGTGGGAAACCCAGATTTTTAGACTGCCAAGGAACCATTTGTTCAGCAGACTTGGACAAAAAGACTGATTTTACTTTGGATTTGGCTTGAAGATCCTGATGGTAGCTCTCTGTCATTCTCTGTGTTCATGCTAAATATGATTTACCAGCTACAGCTGAATGGCAATATGTGCAATTGAAATATCTGTTAGGTTTGAGGTTCATCCCTTCAGCATTTATAGCTTCAGAGTTCCTTTTTTGCAAGAAATACTGAATGAGGATAAAACAGTTACATGAACCCACAATCCATGTTTATAAAAATCTATTCTCAAGAAAGAAATTTTAAAAAATGGGTCTCAAGCAAAAACAGAAGAATGTATTTTGATTACCCTATTTTGCATCAACCCTGACTGCTCTTTAGAAGGCCAGATACTGAAGATGAAACTCAAATACTTTGGCCACCTAATGAGAAGGAAGGACTCCCTGGAGAAGAGCCTAATGCTGGGAACAATAGATGGCAAAAGAAGAAGGGGACGGCAGAGAATGAAGTGGCTGGATGGAGTCACTGAAGCAGTCGGTGTGAGCTTAAGTGGACTCCAGGGGATGGTGGAGGGCAGGAAGGCCTGGAGGAATGTTGTCCATGGGGTCGCAATGGGTCGGACATGACTTCGCAACTAACAACATTTTACCCAGTCAATGGATTACTTCACTGCCTTCTCTTTCACAGGTGGTAACAGATCTTATTTATGTGTAAATCAGCAAAAAATGAGGTTTGAAGTACATTGGATGTCACCTTGGCTCTTTAGAAAGGCTTTATCCAAACTGGCCAATTGTTGGAGGTGTAGTACAGCTAATACTCCTATTACTCAAATGTTTTGGTAATGTCCAATGGCTACTTCTGAAAGAAAATGATCAGGATAAACATCATGACAAAAAGTTCTCTAATATTCATAAATATGTATTTTCTTCTTAACTATCCACACCTGTTTCTTGGAATGTAATGCAAGGTAAACATAAATGGATACTCTGTAACCTTTTGACAGTTAAAAGAATAAAACTACAATACTGGAAGGACAAACAGCCACCTGCAAGAACAAAATGGCTTGGAATCTTAAGGAAATTTTCAATTTGTGTACAGGTGGTTTTTAGACATAATTTATGAGTAGACAAATACATGGTTATTTGGGATGCCCTTGTTGAAGTTTATGCATAATTACCTTTAATAGTAGTATATTTTGCTATGCATAAAATATACAATGGTGCATAGATTTAGAGTAATAGATTCATTCACAGTTCATGTAAAAAACTGTAATACTTTATTTTATTTGGTTAGGGTTTTAAATTTCTGTTTTGTCTTAAGTTTGAAACTCACAATAAAAAAATTAAAAATAAAACCTGTACACATTAAAATTGCCTATGGGACAGCTCACTTTTTGAAATTAAGCAGGTGGTTCTATCACAGGTAAGGTGGTCTTGTTGATGTCACCTCATCCAGATCTGTTCAAGCCATCTGAAATAGTTTTGATTGCCTAGGCATTTTTATACATTTAGACTTCTCTGGATCACCATTTTAAAAGGGCTGGTGGTTTCAGTCTATACATGAATATGGCTATTGCATTGTCTATACGTGGCTAATGGAATATGCAAAGCACCTACTCTATCACTGGCCTACAGCCCTTTCTCTTTAAAAGGGACTAGAACCTAGGAAGTGCCTTGTCAGCTTTCTGCTCAGATTGTGCGTGTCCATTCAGGTCAGTAGTGTTGGCGGCAGCTCATCAGGATTTCAGGCAGGGATCCCTCCCATCACCTGCTACCTGAGAGATGCCAGGGAATGATTCCTGGGACCCCTTCAGCATATAAAGCATTTGCTCTAACACTCCTCTCGTAAGAGCTGCCATGACAGAATATTACAAATGCTAAGCAATCACACAGCATTTGAAAATAGATCTACAGCAAGCTTATGATGGGCTAAATCATTCTTAGAAAGATAGCAAAATATTAAAAACTACCTTACAGCAGTTTCTGCCTGTCCCCTCCCCACCTCTTTCATTCATCCTAGAAGATGAGGAGGAAGGATACCAGATCAAATTAGGTTCTCTCAGACAAATTACTACCTTATAGCTTTCTAACCAGCTGACACAATAAACCAAAATGTGCCAAATTGGCTTCTTCCTGCTGCTGATAACTGACCTGTCTCAGCCTATTTGGTCTGCTCATGTCCAACAGAGGTTCTGTCTGTTTCTCTTTTTGCAGTTTATTCTAACACAAAACACTATTACCTAAAAGAAAACAGCTGTGCTTTGCTTTATCAATTGAACAAAGACATCCCAAAGGATTTCAGCCCAGTCTTGCATTTGGTTAGCATATTACAAAAACTACAGCTGTCTTTTTAGTAATTTGAGCAGGTGACAGGGATCAGCCACATAACATCTCTGTTAGCAGTTAAATGCATATTCAACTTGGAGACTTCAGTGTCCTGCAATATTAAAAAAAAATAAAAAGCACAGATTCTCTTCCACTGCAAGAAGCTCTCCTCTAACCCAATTTGTCATTTTGTTATATTTCAAACCATATTTTTCTCTTTCAGTTCAGGCAAATAAATAGCTGTCTGCACAACAGGCCACATTTCATGCTACTTGTTTCTAAATCCTAGTGCTAGGAGTTTAATGATCTAACATCTCTACCAATGCAGCAACAGAAGTCCCCATGGAGATGACTCCACCACTTTGCAGACTCAGTAAGTACTCTGTTATGTACTCTTCACAAGACCTTATGTTTCTACTGAATGATCACAACCAAGTAAATTTTATTTCTTGTTTCTAACTGTGGAAAATGTTGATGGTGAAGATAAACAGGTATTATTTCATAAGTGCCAATATACTCAAAATATGAAAGCATTTTAAAGCACTTTCAAAGTCTTTATACAATATGACACAGTAGTTTGAGCTGAGACTGGGGGTCAAATCTCCTCTCAACCATGTCACCCATTTCACAACATTGTACTGGCCACTGTCAATCCTACCTGAAGGGCTTGCTGTGAGAATGTAATGAGTTAGAGACAACCCTATACATTTTCTGAGCTCTTTGGAGGAAGGGCACAGTAAAGACTGAGAGAAGCCAGAAAACACTAAGGCTATTTCACCAGGCTAATGCATCTTATTTTGGCTGCATTTCACAAAGATGTATAGATTTCCTCTGGTCTTCATTTTTAGCAAATCATTCTGATTCATACTTTTTTTAAACACTTCTCAGAATTACTTCTCAGTAATAGTTCTTGGCTCAAAAACATACTGAAACACAGGTTGAACTGCAGTGTATTTTGTGAAAAATGTTTAAACTAAAACACATTTTTAATGTTAACGTGCCCTTTTCGAATTTAGATTGATATGGGGGAAGTACATAACCCATGCAGAACTGAAATAGAGCAGAATTTCACTGGTCAGTCCATCGTTACCTGTATCTAAGAACTACTCACCTCTTACAACTGCATCAACTATCAGTTGTGCAATTAGGTACAGATTATAGTGGAAGAAAACTATTTCCTTAGGGAAAAGATAAAACAGTAACTTCCAACTTACTGATGAAGAGCCTAGCATTGACTTTGGAGATCTTATCATCCCAGCAATAGAGTGTCGAATGGTATCAAACCTGGAAACTTTATCTTTCTTATCCTAAGAAACAAGGGAAAGGGAAAACAGGTCATCAGAAATTAAATCAGACATCCTGTAGATTTACTTCTAGATGGGGTTTCAACTGTATCAAATGTTTGGCTGAAATTATTACCAAACCTGTGTAACATTAATGTTTGCAGTAAAATGGAAGGATTATTTATACTGACAGAAATTCAATTATCTGATTCTTATGTACTCAGAATGGCACTATCCACATACAGGAGAGAAAGGTAAAGTTAGGGTTAGGGAAGCCAATAGGTTTCCTAGAAGAAGTGAAAAAAATGCACAGGAAGAGCAAACAAAAATAAAAACCACTCTGGACATGGAATGCTGACTATATGAAGTATGTGTACGGGTGGAAAATGGTTGGGGAAAGCTGAATGAGAAAATGGAGTCTCTGGGATCCTGAATAGAACCACTCCAATGTGTAACATGTTCCTGCAGCTCCCTCGTTATAGACTGGGCTCATACAATGTGAAAAATCATGGTAGCTTATAATCCAGAAGTGGCTTGTCATGATGTCTGAACCCCAGAGAGAAAGTGGGGCAATACTGAAATGCAATAAATAAATAAGCAAGAAATGTGATTTGTTAACCATGCACACTCTGGCTAGGTTCAGAGTGGTACAGTTTGGAGTCACCCTGAGCTTAAGGAATACCAGCTGTGTTTAACTGCCACCCAGAGGTGCTGTGGCACAATTGGATGGCATACAAATGTTTTAAATAAATAAATAACCAACCAACCAACCATTGGGCACAGCAGGCACCACCTCTTGCACTTCCCCTTCCAACCAATACCCCAGGAGACAGCATGCTAGATCACCAAAGCAGCAGGATGAGAATGGCCAAAAGTGGACACCTGCCTTGCACTGCTGCCAGAATAGACAGGAGCACGGGTCAGGGATCCAGGGGTGAGGTGGCATGGGCTGCCTCACTTGTGCCCCCTTGCCTTGGAGGAAAAGCTCAAGTTGCCCAGTGTTGGCCTTCTAAGTCTGTGCCCCCACATCTAATGGAGCTCTCAGTAGAATGTGAGCTATGGCTGGGTAATGAGATGGGGCAAGCTGCTGGGTGGCTCAGGAGATCCCTCTTATCCTCCAACCACTTGGCTTTGCTTCCTCTTAAGGAAATGAAACTGAGTACCTGGCTCCTCTGCTGTGTGCTGCCACCCAAGCTCCAAATGGAGTTTCAGGAAGTAACACTTGGAGAACCCTGATGACTTCCCCCTGCACTCCTTTGATACCAGGAGGAGCAGAATGGGATTGCTTGTGATCAATCCCACTGTACCGTTGGCATGACAAGCCAATCACTATTAAAGAGATGGTCAAAGTAACTACAACATATCCAAGTGTATCTTTGTGTCCTTCTTTAGTGTGTTTTTTAATGTAAGGACAGAAACCTTCTTTCACATGAAACCACAAGTACACCAAGTGTACCAATTCAGCCGAGCAGCCAGGCACTAATGTCACTCATTTCTCTCTTGGGTTCAGACATCATGACAGAAATCGGTGTTCTGGCATATCTCAACCATGTCATGCAGCGCACCACCTTCTGCCACACTCTTGAAATGGGTATGGAGCTGGATGGTGATGTACTGCAGTGTCAATTTCCTGAGACGTATCAGTGCATTTGCAGGCATGCCTACTTATGAACAACTTGCCATCTCAGCTGTTCACTTGCTTTCACCCCAAGGCTATAAAGGCCAATGTGAGCTGAAGGACCAATGTGAGCTGAAAGCTTACTATCCCTTCCTGGTGATCTGTTCAGTAATTGACCAAATATGCAGGTATGATGTTTATTTGATATTTAAAAGACGCTTCAGCTACATAATTCTATAACACGCTGGATAGGATGCTACAATGGAAAAACAAACAGTTTGAGGAAAAAAACCACCAGAGGGAATAGATGTAAATTTAACTTGTACACCAAAATAATCTTGAGAGAGCATTATACAACATTGCAACTATTATCTATCCTATCTGCATCCAAGATTCTCACAAATAAAATGTCTGCCTCCTTTTAAACAGTCTCATATCTACACAACATGGCATAGCAATTTTAAATTACAATCTGTCCGATAATAAAACAGGCTGCTCAGAGTCCACTGGCAGGTCGATTTTATATCAATGGATTAAATGGCTACTTTAAAAAACTGCTTGCTGCATTACCATGGATACGGTGTCTAATTTTGTTTCTAGGTTTGCCAGGAGTTGGGATGATCAGCTCATTTCACACACCTCAGGTAATGACAAGATAAAGGGCCTTCTTCAGATAAACAGGTCGTGGGGATTAGCAGCAGCTAAATGACTGCTTCTCATATCGCTGAGGGGGAAAGGAACAAGAAACGATGTGCGCATCCAGATGAGCTTTCCTACAGAGTCATTCAAGTATTGCCTTAATTTTACATTTGCCAACACATACATACACTGCTTCTAAGACAGTGAGTATAATGATGCTCCTAGCTCTTTTATTTTGCCTAGAGTCCTTAAATAAATACAGTTCCTTTAAGAACATTAAAATTCAAAATTCAATCTTTTCTACAAATAGCAAGCAGAGCCAAGGGAAAAAAGGTTACCAGACTTCTGCTTAATACAAGGAGGTCAACCACAGCTGCCAAGACTGATAGCAAAACAGTAGCTATGCATGGAATACACTGCAATCATGTGTGTCCACAGATATCACCTAGAAAAGGTATTATGTGGGTATTTAGTGAACTATGAAATATTTCCTTTGGCAAAAACTAAACACTTGGAGCAGTGGGGAATAGCAGGAGATACTAACATTCTTACAACATCTCCCATCTACACATGAGTTATCTCTGTGTAAAAATCACTCAAGTCCCTAAACATTTGAAAATATTAGGCCAAAATGCACATGGTAATACAGATACCAGTAAATTAACTGCCCACAGAATCTGAGAAAAGCTTCACAATCCAAGCCATGCAGTCTAATCAAAAGGCTATCATGCCACCCAGATCATGAATGTGGGAAAACAAGCACTGTGAAAATAGCAGGTGAAATTTTAACATTTGCTCACATGCAAACAGAGAGCTTATAAAACTCTGTACAGGACATCAATATCATAGCTTCCCTTGGTAACCACAAATAAAGTCAAAGAAAAAAATAATACAAGGAAAAATATGAAGTAAAAACTTACATGAAACAGAGCAGCCTTAGATCACCTGTCAAAAACCAAACAGGCTGGAGTTCCCCACATACTACAAATCAAAACCTGACAACTCCTTTGATTAAAAAGAAAGAGGGGAGTGTGAAAGTTTCCCCCATACCTTCCAGAAACAAATGCACACACTTATATATCCAAGGATATAGTATATTTGTAAAACATTTCCTTAACTCCTGAATGTCCTGCAGACTTCTTGGATGCCCAGAAGACTATGGCTCCAGTTTGGAGTCAGTCATTGCACTGCGCCCATCAGAGCCACCCCCAGATGTGGCTGCGTATTCCCAGGACTCAGCATCCCCCTCAGAATAGAGGAGATGCTTCTCAGAGCATGTGCCCTGGACAGTGACAGACCTGGTGCTGGAGACAAACACCAAAAGGACCAGATCATTGACCCAGTCTATGATACCCTGGGTGCTGAGGACTTGACACCAGTGACCATCTCTTTCATACCGGCCCTGCTCCACAAGCAGTCCTGGCAGTTTCCCAATACCTCTTTCAGAGGCAACATACCAGGTACTGGAAAAGGATGTCCCATTTCTATTCCAGCAACCAAAGACTAACTCCATTATTGTCAAGCCACCATGTGGAACATTGCTACAGGAGCACTCAGTGCCATTCAACCATGAGGGGTGCCAGCTGAACCATCCACACAGCCTTTTCTCACATCTACACAGCCTTTTCTCACGGTCTCCAGGTCTCAAACTATGAAACCACCATGGCCTGACATCAACTCTTTGTATGGGACAAAATCGTTTATGCTTGGTGTTACTTGCCAAGTATCTAGGTGTCTACATTTCGTTTCTAACATCATCATGTGCTCAGAGTTCCCTAACTGCGGGAGATAATTTCCAACCTCAATTCAGTCCTCAGCACCATAACCAAAGATAATTAGCTTTCTTTTTAATAGTAAAGTAACTTATATGACTTCAGTGGCATGCATTCTAATTTGTATCAACATTATGATACTGCAGAACAGCTTTTCAACAAGTTTCCAGATGGTACATATTCTAATACTCAAAGAGCTGAGTCACCAAACACACTCAGGATGCTGAGAAGATAATGTTCCTGCAAGCCAAATGCTAGCTCTTAAAAACATCATCTTTGAAATGAAAAAAATATGCTTGCCAAACTGTACAGCTTTTCAACCAGAAACAAATATGCAAGACAAAGTAGCACATCCAAACATTTGTTTCACTATATACAAAAAGAGCCTTATCATCAACTGATTTGTATTTGTACCATCTTTCAATAAAAAGTTCTCAGAGCACTTTAAATAGTAATATTGGCCAACAGTTAAAACATCCTAAAATGTCTTAGAAATATCCACTACATTTTCACTTCCACTCAATATGTGGTGAACTTGCAGGCCTCAATGGGAAGCCAGAAAGTTCCTAATTATTGGGATTCTCAGTGGAGAAGGCTGTTGAAGATATTAGGGAACAAGAACATAGATCGTTTTCCCTCTGGCTCCCTTGCTGCTCTTGTTGATGTAGCAGGTCCAGAGTTCCACAGGGGTTAGAGGCCACTCACCCTGGAAATGTGTCTTTAAGGATGCAACCCATATAGCACACAATATCAGTATCCAAAGGAAGAAGAAGGGCACCCTCTCAGCAAATTATATCAACAGCACCTGGCTCTTAGGACTGTCTAGATCTGCAAGGGATCCAAAGCACTACTCAGCAATGAATCTGTGCTCTGGTTGTAACAAACTGACCTCACCACACTACACCAGCCAGTCCCAATCCTAATCCTTGGGGCAGAATAAAGGTAATTATGGTGCAGAGGCCAGAATAAGCCAGATGCACAGTGTCTTTATTATC